TTTTAAACTTAAATCGTTTCTGAATTAAGCTATTTTCTGTTATATCACCAACGTTTTTAATATAAAATAAACCTCTTTAATCAACGTAGACTATAGAATAAAAAATCAACAAATATTTTTCCAGTTTTGCTGTCTATACATTTCATTTTGTACTTTCAGTACATATACTAACAAAAATATTTGATTTTCAAACTAGTTTTGGGTCTCGTTTGAAAACCATTATAACTTTTTTTATGTTATCCTGTGTGCTAACTTTTTAATCAGAAACAAAATTAGGTTATACTTTTGTTGCTAAGCGACATGACATAAAACCCATTGTTGGAACGTAGTGCTACCAAAACGCACTGGCTTTTCTATATACTAAAAGTTGTTAATCTAACTGATTTTAACCAATAATTATTCTGTAAGTACGCCACGAATTCTTTTCATGGATGATTTTAATTTTGATTGGCTCACAAAGAAATTTACCGACGTTTGACGTGCTATATGCCAGTGCTAAAATAAGAGCGAGTCATCAGTTTATGTTGTAAAATCTGTGAAGTAAGTAGAAAACAAGTTTTTTATTTAAAAGGAGAAAACGTAAAATATGTACATTTAATGTGAAAGAGAAATGCACATATCTTATATAATTCTACATTCCACAAGTCTCCTAGTTGGTCATAGGTATGTTTACGGACTTACAACGCAAAAAAAATCATAGAGAATATTAGGTATTTCTCTGCGGTTGATTGAAAGAGTATTTATTTAGCAATTATGCTTTCAGTCCAAGGAAAAAGAACGTCAATGAAAATTAAAATTATCAAATTAAAGAGTCACTGGAACTATTTACATTACCACTAAACAAGATTACAAAAAACATAAATTTGCTGTCTATAATTAGGATACTAGTCACTAGATGTCGCTAATATAAGGGAAAAATTATACTTTTACCAAGCAAAATTCTCTCCGATAAAGCGTTATTTTCTTTTAAAGTTCCATACATGAAACTATTAATTTAATACATTTTTATACAGCTCGATTTTTCATAAAATATAATTATAGTTTTAATACATAAATCGAACAAAATTAGTTGTAGTTTTATTTCAGATCACACAGAATAATTCTGCATCAGATTCTTTGTGAATTTTAAATTAATTGTACTATTAATTTTTTTACCTTAATAAGTATTTAATTTCAGCTTTCAAAACTTTATTCTGCCTTTTGCTCTTATCTATTAAAATGTGTATCGAAACTGTTCTGTCTTACTTCAGATTAAACCATATTTGCATAAAAATGGCAACTCTTCATTAGAAGTGCTTTTTTTGTGAATTTATGAACTTTTACGTGAAACATTTTTCAAACTAAACTAAGCAAATCTTTATGAAAATAGCAGAATATATTACTATTTCTTTCTGCATGATATATCTATTATGAAATTAATTAATTTAGAAGTATAAAATTCATTCCAATGTGTGCGCTTTTATTAGAGAAATATGTCATCATCGCCCCTTAAAGAAAGAAATGTATCAAGCACAGTTTACATCTTCACATCCTAAACATAGGAATGTAGCTCACAAAATTCGCATAATAAGCATCTCTACTACATAAAAGCATCATCGCCATACGGTGACACAACTGTAGCAAATAGAGTTTACATGACTCCCATCACCACTGCATGGTGATATGACTGTAGCAAGTAGAGTTTACATGACTTACATCAACACTGCATGGTGATAGAACTGTAGCAAGTAGAGTTTACATGACGTACATCACCACTGCATGGTGATATGACTGTAGCAAGTAGAGTTTACATGACTTACATCACCACGGCATGATGATAGAACTGTAGTAAGTAGAGTTTACATGGATTATATCACCACTGCATGGTAATAGAACTGTAGCAAGTAGCGTTTACATGACTTACACTCCACTACATAAATACACATATATATCGTAAGTGCGGTAATACTTATAGTAGGAATGTGGCGGATACGCAGTACATACAATACCAACTATTTACTCATATACACCTTTAACAACCAAATAATTAATTTTCAAAAGTATTTAAGAGACATCTTTAGGTGACAAACAAACCATATACAAAATTACAAGTCATAGAACCACTTGAGAAAATCAACAGAGCAGATACAAAAAAAAAAACAACACAAAAACCACAAATTTCTCAATATCTCTGACTGACTGACTTTGTTGAACACTTCTAGCTGTGTAACAAACAGACTTATAATACTTATAAGCGCACCAATCATAATAATAGCACAGGGGCCACGTGCTAGTGCTAGCGTGAAGTACTTAATTAAATTAATTAACTAAGTTATCAACCCTTAGTGTATGCAAACAACCACCACAACTAAGACTACACCACCCAAATGACATTACACACTGTAGAGTGTGTGCTATCACATGTACAGCACACATGCACACTCACAATGTGTACACACACCATAAGTGAAGAGAATGCACACATACACCATTATTTGTATATACCATAATATTATGGTGCACACCCACACTGATGATATACATACAGAATATCAACACAAATGAATGAATGATGCAGAAGATTGTGTCACCTTATATGAAAAAAAGTGCATGACCTAGTGGAAAAAATATTTTAAAAAAATTGAAAGTATAGGAAGTATGCAGCAAAAAGTGAGGAAACAAGGTAGGAATGGGCATGGTGTAATAAAATTTCCTCAGTACGGCCTCACAAGGGTACGTGATCAACATCCGGTCCATGCCTACTTCATTTTTCTGTGTTTATGATATTATAAAATTTATGGGTACGTACAAAAGTGTGTTCATGATATTATACAATTTATGGGTACCTACAAAGGTGTGTCTATGATTCTTCTACTTTTATACAGACAGTTATAAATCCATGACATCGATACACAGAAATCTCTTAGGATTTTTTTGTCTTTGTATTTTAATCCACCCTACTGACCTCTCATGCTATTGAAAAAGGAGGGACAAGTTATAAAGAAAAAAAAAACATAGAAGTTGTGGGTCCACAGGAATATCTGATTATTCTGGTGTCATATAAACAGACTTTACAGTACGAGTATTGCCTCCAATAGTTCGATTCACAGAAACCTCTAGTTATTGTATGATAAACATAATTATGTTTGATAAGTTTAGACCACCTGGCTTATTGTTTACAGGATAGAAAAAATAAACGAAGTAGACATGGACAAAATGCTAGACACGCCCCCTTGTGAAGTTGTACAGAGGGAATTTTATTACACCATGCCCAGTCCTACCTTCTTTACTCACTTTCAATTATTTTTAAATATTCTTCCACTTCTACTAATATATGTTGTGCACACACACACGAATTTCTACATAAACATCACTGTGTATGAAATCACTAAGCAGTTCACAAATCAAACGCTATTTGTCCAACAATCTTCTATTAAAAGATGAATGGGTAACACGGCTGTAAAGTAGCTTCCATGGTATGAGATCACCACTCAGTGGCGATAAAACTGTAGCAAGTTTATACTTAGTTAGAAAGTGGCTTGTTTTAAACTAATCAATGTTATACTGATAATTGTCAATGTTTCTCAGTACTTTGTTCTCAACAACATTCTCATATCCAATAATATTAGCACACCACAAGAACGAGATCTATAAATACAATAACATGATAGCAACAGGAAGTTTTTGTGGTTTTTTTTTTACATGAAACACGTGTACACCACGCCATATATTGTTACATCAGCTGTACACTGTACATGTGTATACAGCTGACCTTGTATTTACTATTAGTACTGTGTAACTCTGTAGACGATATTATTTTGTCCCTATATAACAGTCATCAAGATTGTGTCTGTACAAGAGAAAGACGTACACACACACACACGTGTTGTTCTTATCTATACAAATAATACACTATTTTTTATGAGTTCACAAACGTTACTGTAAATTTCTGACATTATTTTCCCGAAACAATCCAGAAAAAGCAACACAATAACTCGTAAATGTACCTTTTCAGAGTATATGTTGATATGCTTAAAAATATCTTAAACTAAGTATCTTCAGCCTAGCATGCCTGATAACTGACGGAAAACTGTTAGAATCATGTCACCTCAGTTGCTAGTTATGTATATATAGTATGCTAGATTAATATTAGCATGTACATCTCTCTCTCTCTTTCTTTAGTATATAAGTTTTAAGGCTGATCTTTACATTGTATTTCCTACAAGCTGTAGCAATAAAAAAAAAAAATCTTCTTTTAACAAACAACATGATTTTTGAAAGTTCCTACGACTTAAATCCTACTATACCACCGTAAAACGGCATTTACAGTTGGAACCGAGGAAAAAGATAATACAAATAAGCATAAGCAGCAACAACTGGTACAAAAGAAGTTGATGTTATATATATATCTACACTAATTTTGTACAAAAGTATCATTTCTTTGGACGGAATCCTGATTTTGTTCTCTTGCGTTTAGGTCAACTTTCCTGTACAAAACCCTAACAACTGGTACAATAAAATTACTGTTATGTATATACTAATTTTCTAGGAAAGTACCATTTCTTTGAACGGAATCCCGATTTTATTCTCTTGCGTTTAAGTCAACTTTCCTGTACAAAACTCTAACAACTGGTACAACAAAGTTATTGTTATTTGTATACTAATTTTCTAGAAAAGTACCATTTCTTTGGACGGAATCCCGATTTTATTCTCTTGCGTTTAGGTCAACTTTCCTGTACAAAACCCGAACAACTGGTACAACAAAGTTAATGTTATATATACACATTAATTTTCTAGGAAAGTACCATTTCTTTTGACGGAATCCTGATTTTATTCTCTTGCATTTAGGTCAACTTTCCCGTACAAAACCCTAACAGTGGCGCGAGCAAGGTAGCGAGAAACCACCGTTGAATACCCCCTCCCTCCCGTCTAATCGGTGAAACGTTTGTTTACACAAGTATTATTTAGATTTCAAGAGGAGCCGCGTATTTCACGTGAGCTGTGCGTATATAGTACAAGGCTGATAACATGCCCTGTCGCCCGTCTAGTCTATTCGCGTATGTTCGGTCGATCAGCGAGGCTCGTGCTTCGCACTCGACACCCCTGTACGTGTTATTCAATAACCTTTTATGTTGGCACGTGAGTGCCATCCAGGTAATCAAGAGTCTGATATACAGGCATTCAAAATTATAGTGTATTGATCTGATACACAAAATCATGCAAGTATCAAGTCGAAGAAATCCTAGGCCTTTTCAGAAGACTATGAGTGCTATCAGTCTTAACTCTGTCCAAGCGCTGGGATCCATAGCACTTCCCCATTCTATTCGACCAAACGGCGTCGCCTTATCGGACCTCCCTGAAAACGGAGAGATAACGTCTTCTGAGCAGTTTTACAACGGTCAACGGCCCCAGTGGCAACGAGCTCTCTCAGGAAGAAAGGTAGATTGGGAAAGGTGAGAATATTGTTATGTCTTCAACGTGTTACGAGCTTTTGAAGTACGAAGGCTACTAAATTTTGGGAAGATAATTTGTCAAACTATTTTTAAGTGGATTAACGTTTTGTACTGTTAATACACGCATTACAAGATATACTCCCCTGTGTCTAAAAATAAGTTTATTGTATTTTTAATACACAAATTACAAGATATACTCCCCCTTTCCCTGAATCTGAAAATAAGTTTATTGAATGTTTAATACACACATTACAAGATATACGCCCCTGGGTCTGAAAATAGGTTTATTGTTTTGTTAATACACTCATTACAAGATATATTTTTTTTGTTTGTAAGTAAGCACAAAGCTACACAAGTGAGAAGCATTTATTTAGTTTATAATCTCTCACACCAACCGCTCTCCAGTGGCACGGCGGTATGTCTGCGGACTCACACCGCTAGAAACCGGTTTCGATACCCGTGGTGGGCAGAGCACAGATAGCCCATTGTGTAGCTTTGTACTTAATTCTAAACAATCAATCAGACAACTCACAGCAACCTAGCAAACCTCGACAATAAACATTTTAACATGTAGGTGTTAATTCGTTAATGGAAAACAAAAATATTGAGAGATTAAAAATAGGTAAAGCACCAGCTAGACATTTTTTTCCCTCTAGTTTTAAAGGTCTAATATCATGTATAAGTGAGCCTCTTTCATTTTTCATCGATCATTAGAGAATGGACAGGCATCTGAGGACTACCCCTATTTTTGAAGAGGTGGGATGGTAAATGTTGCCCTGGAAATTATAGACAATTTAGTCTTACTCTTCAATGTTAACTATGGCGAAACGTTTTGCCTTGTTCTCATCCTGTTTAAAGCTTTTTTTTACTCTCACAAACTTTCCATAAAACTCGAACTTGTGTATTTAATTGTTTTACACTCACACAAAAGAAACCTGTCATTCTATAGGTATTTGAAGAACTTGTAGCATTTCACCACAATTTAATTCTTCGTATTGTTAGCCAACACTGGGTAGCTGGTACATAATTGAATAAATAATTGCATAAACATTTGTTTAACAACAATCCAAGCTTTTACTGTTGTTAAACAAATATTTAAACAGCTCTATTTATTCAATTTCATAAAACTGTTTTCTTCTAAAGCTTTATATAAAAACGTTTTTGCAGATGCAGATATTTCCTTGTGCAATAAATAGATTCTACTGATATTTATAGTCTCCTGAAAAAGGTGTAGAACGGATAGGAATCTACCCTGAAAAAGGTATAAAACAGGTAGCAATGCTTGCCTGAAAAAGGTATAAAACAGAAAGTGATGTTTCTCTGAGAAATGTATAGAACGGACAGTGATGCTTTCCTGAAAAAAGGTATATAATATATAGTGATGCTCTCTTGAAAAGGGTAGAGAACGGATAGTTATGCTCCCCTGATACAGGTAGAAAACGGTTAGTGATTCTTTCTTGAAAAAGGTATAGAACAGTTAGTGATTCTCCTTTGAAAATAGTATAGAACAATTAGTGTTTCTCTCCTGAAAAATGTATAGAACAGTTAGCGATTCTCCCCTGAAAAAGGTATAGAGCGGACATAATAGGAAAAATAATGAACATTTAATAACAAAATTCAACAGCTGATTCAAAATTTAGCTTACATTCAATGGAAGTGAAATTGTTGTACAACAATATTTACATAACCACACAGAAATTTCCATCATTGTTCAATTGAAAAAATAATGAATTAAGACCAAAGTAAAATAATAAATCATGAAAGTTAGTTTTACGTGTAAATTAATGTACGATTTTTATCATATATGAAATAAAAAATAATACCGTTGTCAAGATTAAAAGTATAAATATGGGCAAATACGTTTCCCATGACTTAGTTGCGATATTTTGAAAATATGTTAACTGCTCATGTATTAACTCTCCCGTATTCAGTAAACTGTCGCCTTGTTACAAACATTTGTTAACATATCTTTCTTATATTTCTAATAAAAATGAGAAGACAGCAGCAGAATCTTGACTCGTAGCTAATATATCCAAGTTTTCCCGCCCTTCCAGAGACTCCAAAAAGTCATAATTATATATTTTATCAGTTTATACCCCAGAGCATAAAATTTGTTTGTAACTAACTATTAACCTACTGTCCTAGGTTTGGCTTTTGAATGTTACATAATGATTTTTTTTTAATTTCGCACAAAACTACACCAGGGCTATCTGCACTAGCCGTCCCTAATTTAGCAGTGTAAGACTAGAGGGAAGGCAGCTAGTCATCACAACCCACCGCCAACTCTTGGGCTACTCTTTTACCAACGAATAGTAGGATTGACCGTCACTTTATAACGCCCCCACGGATGAAACGGCGAGCATGTTTGGTGTGACGGGGATTCGAACCCGCAGCCCTCAGATTGCGAGTCGAGTGCCATAACCACCTGGCCATGCCGGGCCTACATAATGATATCTATCTACTTGTCTCTATATTTCTCTCTCTATCTATGTATCTATCTTTTTGTCTGTCCGTCTATCTAAGTTATGCACAAAAACGAATTTCTGCATGAACATCATTGCTAGGAATGAACTAATTAGCACACAAACGCCATCTGTCAAATTATCTTCAATTAAAAAATGAATTAATTTTTCTTTTAAGAACAGTTAGCAAAGATAGTGGCAGTTCGAAAAGAAAAATAATAATCACAAAGGACTTGACGTCATTTCCGCTTTGCCGGAACTTTCATTGTGACAATTTTAGACCTTATTCAAATGGATAAAAAAACATGTGTACGTGTATTTGAGATTCTGCCAAGAGAACACGTTATCTTCAAACCAAAATGAATTTGACATTCATTTTAGCTCGGTAAAGGAAGCATCTACATTGGCTTTTAGAACTAAAACGTTCTATCTTATTTTTTAGCCTCCAGAGGGCTCTCGTGGGCTTGTTTCAAAGGCAACAACCTATCCTAGGAGTTGGAGAGCTTTCTAAACTACACGAAACAATTCGGTAAGAATGACATTTATTTGTTCTCTTATATGTTTTACTATTTAATTTTCAAGGCCATGAATGAATGAATAAATAAATAAATATATAACGTTATTAATCTTTAACGCCAGCTCCTGCCACGACACTTCAAGTAAAACAACAAGAACAATCTGTTACGTGTTTGGTCAGTTAATTACTGACTAACCTTAACATTTACGTGTTACCCCTATATGTATTTTAAACGTAGAAAGGTAGTTTGTATAAAAAGTAAAACAGGCAAAGCATCTTTTTTAGAAGAAGGGGGGGTCCGCTTTTTTTTTTATCAGTTTCTTTGGCACAATGACAACTATGTCTATAGTAAATCGACTTGCCCGCAGGATTAAACAAAAGTACCTGTTGAGTAGTTTACTATGAATCATTGCATAATATGTCAAATACAAGGTTGAAAAAATAAGTATGTTAGTATCGACTTAACAACCCAGTTTGGAGACTACCGTTCTAACCAAATATATATAATTTAATAATAATGTACAGCTGTAGAGGATGAATATTTTGATAATACTAACATACAGTTACTGAGAACTAAAACTTTTATTTTTTAGAAATCTAACCTTATTCGAGTCATTTATCCAAAAGAGCCTCCCTAAAAAGGAAGTTGTTGAGTAACAATGTAACTCCATACGTAACTTTGTTTAAGTATAATTTTCGTAAGTGTGAAGGCTTAAACTATTAAAAAAAATATAGTTTATATTCAGAAAGCTGGTGATCCATTAAAAACTAATGGGTCTAACTAACGAGCTTTGGTATTGACCAAAGACCTCTTGGGAAGTGACTTAGGGAGAGGCAAGAAATACATCTGATTTTTAATCCTGAAATTAAGAAGAATTAAAAAAAAACACATCTGTAGCATGCATGATTTCTATCATAAGTTTTAGACCTACATTCTTAGTTTGGCTTATACATCAATTGCGATGAATAATTTTGAATTTTTGGTTAAATTGAAACTGGTTATCAATTACATTCGTAAGTTTTGTAAACATACTATGTGGAAGAGTAATTAAAAGTGCACAATAAGATATATACATTTACTCTCCTTTGTAATTTTGAATTTATGTCACGACAAATAATTTTGTAGATGGCGTACATGCCTCTGTCTTTCTGGTTACTAATGCAGTACTAACTTTAATTATCTAAACGTGCACTATTTAGTATTTACCTTTTATAAGCTAATGTCGACTCGTAATCTGAGGGTCGTGGGTTTAAATCCCCGTCCCACCAACCATGCTCGCCCTTTCAGCCGTTGGGGCGTTATAATGTGACGGTCAATCTCACTATTGTAGCCCAAGAGTTGACAGTGGGTAGTTATGACTACCTGCCTTCCCTCTAGTCTTTCGCTGCTAAATTAGGGACGGCTAGCCCAGATAGCCCTCGTGTAGCTTTGTGCGAAATTCCAAACAAATAAAGAAACAAACAATATCTTATCGAGTTAAAATTTGTTTCAAGAAAACCGTTTCTGACTGTTTTGTTTTTATAATATCTTTAAGTCTGTATTCAAATACATATTAAATCGTGAGCAATGTCCTGGCGATTCCTAATAATAATATCATGAGGTAACGGTCCCATGACCCTGCCCAGATTATCTAGTGTACAGACCAGTTATTTGTTAGCTTGTCCACAATCTTCCCAACACAGACCAGGCTACATCAGAATGAATCGCTACTTATTTGTATCTGTAATTTTATATATTTCAAAATTTAAACAACTTTTACAGTTTATACCTCCATACTTCCGCTCGCTACAATGCCTCGATGTTGACACAATTACACGGAAACAGATCAGCAAGTTATCAAATCTCAGGCTAAATATAGGGCAAGAGGGGGGGGAGCTTAGCTTTACAAGGCAGGTAGCATGTATGAAAATGTTTCGAGACAGTTGTGCGTTCTTACAAAAGGACAGGTTAAACACCCGCATAATTACTGTCATACCTATTCTCAGAATAGTATTCAAATGTAAATGTCATAACGGTTTTAAATACTTATCCATTAATTCGTCTTTTAAGTCACTGATATCTATTTTTTAATCTTAGTGATTGTGTTTATACAAAAGAAAAATTATTACTATAAAACCGTATATATTTAAGAAACTTTTTAAAAGAGTCGTTGATATTGTATGTGGTTGTATCTGTATGTATAAAAAGTATTAATTTATTAATCAATAAAGGACTTTTTTTTTCTCTGATTGCATTTATTCTATAGTTGTGATTTAGAAAACGAAAATGGTTATCTGTTTTTTGTATTATTTTCTATGTAACTAATCTATGTCGATTTGTTTACTGCACTTTTAAAGATTTATCGTTTTACCATAGTAATTTTTATTATCATTACAGAAAACTTCAGAGCTCAAGTGCAGGTCCCTTTATTTACGAGTATTACAAGGTAAGAACCTCTCAAGTGTTTTGTGTAAAATGTTGTATTTCGTCTTGTAATACATTTTGAAATATCTTGAATTTTAAAATTTTAAAATGAACGTCACCTTATGTGCAGGTTAGCTAGAGGTCCAGGTCAATAGACTCCTAGAATTCAGGAATATTTGTTCTTAGTTTTGAACTACCAACAAGGCCTTTATTTGATTTTTTGACCAAATAATTGGGTATACTGTTACTTTTATAACGCATCCACAGCACGTTCAGTAGTATCCAAGTTCGAACCCTGGACCCGTCAGTTTATACTTATAGTAGCAGCAAAGTAAGAAATGGTTGGGGAGTGTAGTAAATGTTTGGAAATGAAGTGTTCAATTGAAAACAAAATCTAATTATCTGCCTTTTGTTTTTCTATCTACCTATATAGTTGCTGTTTTAATTATCGTAGCCTGTTCTTTGTGTACTTATACACAAATACATACTCTCTAATCAAGATTCAAAAACCCGTAGCAGAAACATATGCTTCAGGTCTCAATTGATAAGATTATACAACTTTTTTATTTATTCATTTATTGAAGCCTCTCGCCGCTCTCACAGTACCTCATGGTTTAATAGGATCGGTGAACAATTGAAGAAATGGTGGACTATCTTTAAAGCTCTTTGGATATTAGTACGCAGTTGTACATCGCTTATGACTTATTTCTGTTCTGTACATTTTGTATTCACGCGTGCTTAGATTGAATTTTAAGATTTGATATATATAACCTCAAACAACAAGTCTTGTAATATTTATAATGAAGCGAGCCAAGAAGTAATAACCAGGTACAACGTAAACTTCAGTAAGAAAATACACAGACAAATTGAAACTCTGACACATTCGTATACTTTACAAATACAGTTCATACGTGTCTGTTGATACTTGAATATAAATTAATACCTATTTATAGTTACATAAAATCGGATACTTAACAATTCCATCACAAAAGGGGTAAATATTTAGTTTTTAAAAAGTATGATTAACCGAAAAGTGTAATTTTTGTCGCTCTTGATGTATACAGGATGGCCAAAACTTAAGTACTCTATAATGTGTCTCAGTTGAAATAAGTGTTATTGTACCATTCCATAAATAGATTAGAACATATCTTTGAGCATGTATATTGAGGTAAATGTTATAAATTTTCTTGTAAGTTTTCTACAGGTAATTAATCATAAAATGTCAATCGGAAGTCTAGAGGTCATAAACATCTAAACATCTACTATTTTTATTTTTGTTTAAGTAAAGGTTACTTACTACAACGCCCATTCATGAGGCTCGTGCAAACGTAGACCTGTTTCCGTATCATACTCCCTAAAGTGAGGTCATACTGATTCAAGGGCATATACAGACCTGTAAAAGTTGGTACGAGTAGGCATTTATCTCCCTTTATTATGCGTATTTCAAATACTTGTGGATGAAGGTTATGTAACCTAAGGATTGGCGAATACCGCCAATCCTAGGAGCTAAATCTGACTATAAAAGCTTAAAATCCAGTACGTCTGTTACTTGTATCTTATCTTTGATTCTTCATATCGTTTTGTGTAGACATATTTGGAAATCCTTTCCTAACCTAACAGCTAGCGAAAAGTCACAACAAAAACTAGGAGCTGGCCAGTTTTCAAGAATTTCATTGTTGTGAATAAAGATATTGTTCACTTGTGTCATTTGTTTTCGTTTGCTGTTTGAGTTCATTATAAGTCTCTATATAGCATTTTCGGGGCCCGCGTTTTACGGATTCTTGGTTGTTATCTGTCTGACATCTGTGTACTTGAATAACAATCATGTATAGCACAAGTGTATTTCTTGACAACAGTCTCACGCCGAAACACAAATGTAAGTAACAATGGAATATATCAGTTCAAAGGTATTTGTTTTGTCATAAGAATTGCTCCAACCACCATTCATATATTAAGTGAATGACACATATTACGATTATGATGCATTGAAGTCCTAATATTTTTGGGATACACCGTATATCTCATCTCAATAATGTTACCATTATAAAATACTATGCTCCCCTTGGCACAGCGGTATGTCTGCAGATTTATATCGCTTGAAACCTGGTTTCGATACCTGTGGTAGGCAGAGCACAGATAGCCCTTGGTGTCGCTTTGTGCTTAATAATAATAATAATAATAAACATGAAATATTATTTTGGTTTTAGAGCCTTTTTTTTTGTTTTGAACCACAATCATAATTATAAGCGCTACAGACTTTTCATAATTACAAAAAGTATGACAAAGTTTGAATTAACTTTCGCACAATTACTTTTGGAACATCTTCTATGTGGTTAGCACGAGGTTTCACGGTTCACGTCCCATTGTTGAAAAATAATAATCCGCACTATGCTCTTTGGGGGCGTAAGAATGTTATAAGAGTGAAGGCCAGATCCCTCTATTCGACTAGAGTTGCCCAAGAGTTGGAGGTAGATGCTGTTGAAGCTGCCTTCCCTTAAGTATATCAGTTCAAAATTAGAAACTGCTGAGGTGTATAATCCTTGAGTAACCTTGCACGAATATCCGTAACAAACCAGATATAAATTGTTTGAACGTCAATTGTCGCCAAAATGGTAAAAACGAAAGTCATATCAAGCTTTGAAGAAGATATTGTTGTGGAGGTTTTATCGATCGATGCCTCAGTTGTGAAGATGGTCATACTCACTGGCAAATTAAGGCCTTCTATGTTCCGAGTCTACAATGCGTGGTTATTAGATCAAAACACTTCGTCTAATAAGGTAAACTGGGATTAGAAGAAAGATCAATTAAAGAGGGATAGAAGGCAAATATCGAATGCTTTTCGGGCACAGACATTCAGGTCAGCTAGGGTGGTCAATTATTCACAAGCAAAGATACATGACCATTCAAAAGAACCAGAAGATCTACCCAATATAAATGAGCCCCATAACGTTAGATCACTTACAGAATCTACTACACTGGATTAGGATGGGTTCATGGCTTTATTGTATCATCGCCACACTTTCACCCTACCATTATTCAGGACAATGTGAATCTTAATTCATCTGATCACATTACACATTTCATTGGTTAACAGTCTAATCTCATTGATCTAGACCTCAGTGGAAACATCTTTTTTTCATTGTTGGCAGAGATATGTGTTTACGTGATGAACCACGTTTACCTAAGTTTCTTTTCACGCAGTCTTTATTATGAATTGTTCCAGTGGAAATGCACGTTCCTCGACCATTATTAAAGTTGTCCATAAATTTATACACAGAAGATGCACCAATCAATGCTATTCTTTTACCCAAATGGAGATGGATACTTCCAGGATGATATAGCCACCAGCCATAGCACTTCATGATTGATTCACTGAAAATGATAGACTTTCAACAACTGCCCTGGACTTATAGTTCTTTTTCTTAACCTCATTGAGAATTTTTGGGACGTTTCAGAACGAACTATTGGGAGACAATCCTTTACAATCAATTCCCCTTGGATTGGAGATGATAATGATTAACGCATAGTCAAATATATACATTATACATTATAGGAGGCAATACCACGTCATATTCAGATTGTAATTGAGGGACATGGTGGCCCAATACATTATTCGATTGAGATCTCTAATATTTTACAGCGATTGTATATAAATAAGACGTTAAAAGTACTTAGAAGCATTTGCTAAAATCTATATTTATTTTTATAAGTCAGATCCCGTTAATGATGTTTTTAGTCTTTATATAATCAGCAAACGTTTTTAAACGTTTACGCTATTCTCATTTTTGAAATTTATATATGTGTGTGTGTGTGTGTGTATTGCGACGTCAGTATGTACACCACTGAACAACTAGGATTTGAATTATTCTGGTCTGATTTGTGTTTCCTAACTTTTTATATAATTCACGCTCAAGAAATTAATTTTGTATAATACTTTGTATGTGTGTGTGTGTAAAGCAGATGAGAGGTAAACAGTTGTTTATATATGCAGCAAAATTGATGATGAGAGAAAAGATGTTCTTGTTCTCAATAAAGCAAATGACGAGAGATAAAAAGTTGTTTATATACGCAGTAAAACTAATGGTGAGAGGAAAGATGTTCTTGTACTCAAAAAACAGATGACGAGAGATAAAAAATATGTTACATGCAATAAAAATGATGACGAGTAATAAAAAAGGTGTTCGGCATATAATAAATTTGATCAACTCGTTTGTTGAGTATTTTCTCGTGTCCTTATTTACTTCGAATCGCATATAAAATATTTGTAAACTTATTCGATTCAGTTAAAAAGATTAAAAGGATAATTCTGACATCATATATTTACTTTAATCTTGAATAACTGGAGGTATACATCAAGTTTTGTAAGTAAAAGTTAATTGGTTTGTTTAATAACCAGATTAAAACAAATCAAACAAATTAAAACAAACGTTTTTTTTTTCACATATCCTTATAGCAACAAATTCTAACCAAAGGAATGATAATCGTTAGAGAACAAATTCGACAAGCCCAAGGTAAGAAGAGTTCGTGTATTTGTACTTGGAATGCACGCTAGGCTAAGTGATTTTAAGGGCCTCTCTTTGAATATACTTAATCTATTATTTTAGGTGTTGTCAACGGTACATATTTTAATTCTCTTAGGTGAATCTAACGTTGTGTGAATTATCTTCAAATTCGCATTGTCAAGTTTAAAGAACAAAGAAACTGAGATAAAATTAAACTATTATAGTAGGTGGCGCTTTATCTTCAGACAGGAAAATTCCCTATATAATAATTTAAGGGAAGTTTACCATGAGAACTGTCATTACTGTGAGCAATAATGTAAATTATGATAAACATAAACGTTGCAAAATAGATTGACAAACTTATATAAAACAGATTATATATATTTTGTCATAGGATGTGGTACGTATGTTAACTTAAAGTGTAGGATACGAAAATTTAAAAGAATAAAGACTTTTTGAATTAAAAATATTTCCCTTACATTTTAAATTAATTCTAAAAAGATAGCCTCAAGGTTGTAGCACTGATTATATGTCAATATCAAAATACTTTTCCTTGATTCGTTCACGTCAGGATTTTGGTGAATTATGAAAATTACATATCCAGTCTTGTTGTCAATGTTCGGGATATTATTCAAGCATAGAATGTACTGAACTGAGAAATAATGTACTTACGATGTCAGAAAAAGAAACTTCAAATACAAGTGTTTCTATTTGTAAGCTGCGGAAGAGCTGCTGTAAATAGTTTCAAATCCCATCATTGAACATGTTTGCCCTTTCTGTCGTGGGAGAGCGTTATACGTCCCACTGATCCTTGCTAAAGAGTAGCCAAACAGTTGACGGTGGGCGGTGTTGACTAATTGTCTTCCCTCTAGTCCCTCACTTCAAAATTAGGGACGCTTAGCGCAGATAGACTTCGATTAAATTTGCGCGAAATTTTAAAAACAAACAAATGAATTATAAATAGTTTTGTTTAAGGACACCTCAGAATTTTTTTAAGATTTCTGATAGTAGTATTTTAGTATCGTGTTATTCAGAACATAGTATACAAGCTTTCTATAAGCTCTTACATTGGGTTGTTCTAAAACACCTAAAATATGAACACTTCTTGAAGATGTTACATTATAAGTTTCCTGAAGTTATTTACTACAAAATTTAGAAGCTATTTTAATAGCGTTCTATTTGCTACTTTTATCATAATGTTATCCTAAATAATATTTCACTAAGTTCTGTCCAAAGCACTTTTGGAATATTTTTTCAGTAATCTGTGCTAAAGAGTATATTGCGATTTATGTCAGTTCAAAATAAGAAAAAAAAATTGAAAGAGAGAGTTTTATTCGAATTTCTTTGAGGTTATTGTATTGTTACTTTAACGTAAATTTGATAAAAACCTTGATTTTTCTGCTATGATTCTCATCAAAGTTATAATAGAAGCATTATTCGCTGAAAAGGAAAATTTTAGTGATAGTGATAAAACTTTGAAACATTATTATGCGAAATGGTCAAATTTCTATCCATAATTTATTTTAAACATGAAGTGTTGATTTAATAATAATAATAAAATAGGGTGGCGCTGAAACGCCTGACTGGTTGTTTTTTCTTTCTCTCTCTCTCTCTCTTTTTACATGAACATGTTTAGATAGGAAAATCTAAATCACTTATGTATCTTTGTTGTTGTTGCTAACTTCAGTAAAATAATAAAAACCAGTCCAGGATTTTTCTAAATTGTTATGCTGTGTTTCCCCGACAGGAAAGAGTTTACTGAAACGCTTAGAGGAAGCATGGGAGAACCTCTTTGTAAATGTCTTGCCTTTATTGGAAGCAGTTTTGTTCTTGTCAAGGTATGTTTGCGAGCTTTTTGTTACCACTCTGTACAAGTATGTTTATAAAACAAGAAGAAATCTAATGATGAAAGTTATTCATTTATGTACCTTTTCCTATTACGAAATTTACCTATAACTTTAAGCTCAGAAAGTGGAAATATTGTAACACTTAATGTTTAGAAGTGTATTCTTAAAGGATGTACATATAACCTTTGTCGTAGTCATTACAAAATAAATATACTAACTTATACTATGTATAAAAAGATTCTAAAACGACAGAAGCAATTTCAAAACCGGATTGGAAGTATATTAGCTAAAACATAAACATAAATCCTCTTTCGTAAAATATATTACACTTCTAAAAGTACTGAGATAATACACCACAGCTAGAAATGGACCTGCCTCCATTGTCTGTTGAGTAGTGTTTACAAAGGTCAGCAATACCAGAGTCAGTCAGTTGAATTTAATATGTTACAAGAAAAGAACTAATATTTAATATAACAATGACAGTTTAAGTGTTAGGGACATTAAATTCCGTCTATACATATACCCGTATCCACTGTGGATAATGTTCTGAAGAAAAGGAAGATAAGTGGATTTGTCAATGTGGAATATCATCCAGGTCATTCAAGATTGACTACTTTTTGATGTTCACAATCTTAAATCACATTGGAAAAAAAACTGCATATCTGACTTTATATTAATCCCACAAATGTTTAACGAGGGTTCAAGACAGTAAACCAATAAAAAAGAAGCTCCATGATGTTGAATCTTTTGGATTGGTTGCAACCTATAAGCCATTCCATGTTGTTGGATCTTATGGATTGGCTGCAACCTATAAGCCACTTCATGCTGTTAAATTTTATTGAGTGGCTGCAACCCATATGCCAGTCATCACTTCTGTGAACAAAGGGCGTTAGTTCTCTCATAGAGCTTCAACAATGGTGAGGATAATAATAGAAAAAAAAAATCGTAAGAGGCTTCCGTTTCTCCGTTTTCTTCAGATGGACATTTCTGGGCTTGTCGGTAATCTGGAGAATACTTTGTATATAAACGTGTCATCCCAGCTGTGAAAGTTGGTGTGAATAATTCACGATATGGATTTGTTTAAATTGACTTTGACTTGGTCCACTAGTAACAATTAAGATCGTATTATGATATATTGGACAACGCTGAGTAACCTGCATGCATAAAAATATATGAGGAAGAACCAAACGTTATTAGCCTTCTGCATGCCATGATGTTCAGAAGAAGTTTGAGGCAAATAATGTTCAGAATGTGTTCGACCAACCCAAGAAACAGACACAAATTCAAGTGAACTACTCCAGAAGTTTTAGAATACTATCTGAGGGGCGGGAGAAGTAAACCTGGAAAGAGTTCCATATGGCACCCCCACCCAAAAATTGTAGAATTGCCTGGATAAAAATTGGTAGTGTGTCAAAAAACAACTACCAACTACACATACCAGGGCAAAGACATTTGACAAGCATTTGTGTGAATACATGTGGAGAACATTACATTCTGATAAAAGTAGCCTTTTTGATGCCTTTATACCGGAAATTTGTAAAGTTTATCCCCAAGAAGATTGTACATCTAATTAATGAAGTAAGTGGTATAATAATGTATTAAAATTATCAGATCACACTATTAATATGATTTATTAATACATAAATATTACTTTGATGAATTTTTTTTTTAAATTGAGTGGGGGTGCTATATGGAACTCTTACCGTAAACCTCAAAATCTCATTGCAAGAGGTGTAATATTCTATTTTAATTGATGTTTTAGTAGCATGAATCGGAAACAAAATCCTGTTATTTTAAAGATAAAGTGTGGCTCCACTATTGAAATTTACCCCTTTTTTAAAGTGAACTGTCTCAATGCTTTTGGTAATATATTGTGTATTTAAATTAGAGTGTGTGTTTTTTTATCTAGACGAGAGGAGGTATCACTATTCGACAAACTACACTCGCTTCTTTTAGAGACGTAGTTGTTTTGAAATTAAACATTGAAGGTAAGTTGAATTTTCTCCATTCAATAATTAAACAGCAGATGAAAAATTAAACCACTCTCTTTGTATGTGTATAAAGTATTATAGAAGTTTGATAAATTCTCTATTTCATATAAAGTATTGTTTATTTGTTTGTTTATAATTAAGCACAAAGCTACACAATGGGCTATCTGTGCTCTGCCCACCACGGGTATCGAAACCCGGATTCTAGCGTTGTAAGTCCGTAGACATACCGCTGTGCCACTGGGGGGCTCATCATATAAAGTATATCAATATCTTAAAAAATACAGAATTTGTTTGTAATTACTAGCATATGGAGTCGTTGTAAGCCACAAAGTTTGTAATTACTAGTATCTAGAGTCGTTGTGAACCACAATGTTTGTAATTACTAGTATCTAGAGTCGTCGTGAACCTTTCGTTCCGATTTATCGTCAGGCGAGAAGCCGGTCTTTATGAACGATTTCTTCTTTTTGTGTGTGAGTGTGTTTTTGTTTTTTTTTCTATTTTACCTGAAAATCTGTTCGTTATTATTAAAAAAAAAAGTCTCGTTTGATTAAACTTCCTGTACAAAAACGAAAGAAATAAGAAACTGTTAATTAAGTAGTTTAATACAACGTATACTTTTAATAATATTATTATATTTACAACCAGGAAGATCACGCTTCTTAGGATAACTAAACCAAAAGAATGTAATCGTTATGCTGAAAAGTGCTCTGAACTAAAACAGAACGATGAGTTACAAACATGTATATATATATATATATAGTATGCTGTGATTCAATTAACCTTGGAATGACAGTTATGTAATGACCTTCAGGTTTATAACGTTTTGCTGTGATTCAATTAACCTTGGAATGACAGTTATGTAATGACCTTCAGGTTTATAACGTTTTGCTGTGATTCAATTAACCTTGGAATGACAGTTATGTAATGACCTTCAGGTTTATAACGTTTTGCTGTGATTCCATTTACCTTGGAGCGACAGTTATGTAATGACCTTCAGGTTTATAAAGTTTTGCTGTGATTCCACTTACCTTGGAACGACAGTTAGGTAATGACCTTCGAAAGTTTTGCTGTGTTTCCATTAACCTTGGAATGACAGTTAAGTAATGACCTTCAGGGTTATAAAGTCTTGATACGAGCTTCAAAAGGTTCCAAGGTCACTGCCTCAACTGATAAGCTTCCAAACTTCCCTCACCCTTCAGGATAATAAACAAATATCTTTTAAAAAAGATAAGCAGGATATTATCATGAGAATTTTACAACTTGGAGGAGCTGCTACGATATTACGTTAAACTGTCTAACACTGTCCTCATAGAAAAACAAGAGGTAATCCTCAATAGCCGTGGCACTTGAAATTCTTTTAGGCAGGATTAGAGTAAATTTACCTAATTGGGCGTGGTCAAATACGTCTATCGAAAGGGTTTGACCTCCTGAGCCCAAAACTGTAATTAGAACTCAAATCGTTTAAGAGATGATAGAGCTATGAGCTAAAAGTTTATATTTGATAAAAAAAAAAACTCGGAACCATTCTATGAGCCGCTATGCCGCGGCTAAAAAAAATGGGAGAGAGATAGAGAGAAATAGAAAGAGAAGAAGCTCAAATGATTTAAGAGACTGTTTAAGGACTGTCATTATACCAAAGAGGTATTCAGGGTCTCTATAACATTGCTCAGGAAAAATTTGACGAACAAAGAAATACAAATGAATATGTATTTTCCCGCTCATTATAACACAATTTTCTGGTGTGACTATAAATTCAAAATTTCTTCCTATAAAAAAGAAATAGTATCAGAATTGAATTTCTTGAAACAGATTGCCATTGAAAGAGTATTTAATTGTAACATCTTGGAGTTAAGAAGCTTTGTAATAAATTGAAAATTTCACAGTTTATTGATCTTACGAATTACTAATGCTGATAGAAAGAACATTTGTTTGTAATATGTTCTAACTATTTACTCACATATAGGTAACATTTTTAGGAATACGTTAATTGTCGAGTAACTCCTTTACCTGGTGTCAAACTTACTGCTAGTCCTACAGAAAATTTCATTAATAGATAAATGTAGCAGTTATAAAATCTCTTCCAACTGTGGTCTAATGTATAATAGCCAAGCACGTTGAACTTTCAAATTTAGACTAAATGAACATAAGTCGGCTACAGAAAATCGGAAAATTAATGAATCAGCTGAACGTATTGCAAACAACCTTCTTTCTCATAGTGTTAATTGAAATTATATTAAATAGATTAAAATTTATAATGATAACTACGAAATAAATATAAACATTTCATGATTCTAAGTTAACTTTAAAAAACAGAGATTCTGGTCCAGGGGCTTCAGAAGCTTATTTCTGGAAATCTATTTTAAGAGAAAAAGGTACATATTTGGCAGCACCTTTTATGTGAATCGCTGCGTCAAGAAGTTTTTCATTACACAGGTTTATGGAAATGTATAAATATCGGTACAGTGTATCACTGCTGTCTAATTCTTGATGATGGCGGATCTATGATCCACCGGAACATGTAGAAGTGTTCCGTTAAGACCTGGCGAAAAGCGTGTCACTGCTGTCTAATTCTTGATGATAGTTTGTTTGTTTGTAATTAAGCACAAAGCTACACAATGGGCTATCTATGCTCTGCCCACCACGGATATCGAAACCCGAATTCTAGCGTTGTAAGTCCGCAGACATACCGCTGTGCCACTGGGGGGCATATTCTTGATGATGGCGAATCTGTGACCCGCCGGAACATGTAGAAGTGTTCAGATAAGGCATGGCGCCTTCAATAAAGCTTTTATATTGTGCTAGTCTAGTTTTTATGAGTATAAATTATCTAAATATAAGCTTGAACCACCAGTGGCTAACACTATATGTTTTGATAATTTTACCGTAACGTACCCTTTCAGTTTTTTTAACTGTTTAGAAACTTGCTAAAAGTATCATAAAACGTTGTGTGAACTATTGTATAGAATACACTTGGTCGATATTTCTGGTAATTAAGAAATTAAATACCTTTCATATATAAATCCTATAAGTAGCTTTAAGATAACGCAGTGGGGTGTATAATAAGCACTCGAAAATTACACTGTGGGTGTAAGTATTTGAAAATAACACAACGGGTATAAAATAAGAACATGAAGATAACACAACGGGTATAAAAAATACTTGAAAATAATACAGTTGGTATAAAATAAAAACTTGTATATGAGAAAGTGTGTATGAAATAAGAATTTGGATATGAACATGTGTGTATAGAATAATAACTTGAAAATAACACAACGGGTATAAAACGAGAATTTGAAAATAACACAACGGGTATAAAATAAGAACATGAAGATCACACAACGGGTACAAAATAAGAACTTGTAATTGAGAAAGTGAGTATAAAGTAAGAAATTGAAATGAAAATGTGGGTATAAAGTACGAAATTGGATATGAAAAACTGGGCTTAAAATAAAGACTTAAAAGTACCACAATAGGTGTTAAAATTAATATTTCAAGGTGACACAGTTGGTATAGAATTAATATTAATTAACTTGCATCCTCCTGTTTTATTATTTCTGTGCCAGAAAATATACATTTGTTTCGAAATGTGACTTACAGTTACATTTCCTAGTTAAATTTAAATTCACTCTTTCAGTCCCTCCCCCCAGTGGCACAGTGGTATGTCTGCGGAGTTACAATCCTAGAACCCAAGTTTCGATACCGTGGTGGGCAGAGCACAGATAGCCTATTGTGTAGCTTTGTGCTTAACTTCACACAAACAAACATTCTTTCAGATTTTTCACAAACGCTCTTACAGAATTTACTAACTGTTTCTGGAATTTCTGCATGCTTATGAATTTATGAAGTATATGCATCTTATGGGGCACATAGCGAATGCTTATTTCTACCATACACAAACATTAGGCACGCCTGACTGTTATACAATATTTAACTTCCTTTGCTAAGCTTAAATTATAGTTCTTGTTTCTTCGAATGGTTTATCTAGCGGTGATAAAAATAGCCACTACGTCTGTCACTAGTCTAGATGGAGTTACACCATCTACTTTTGTGAATTTATAGTTGACAAGATACAGTTAGATCCATCATATACGATAGCTATAATCCTTTACGAACACCGAGTAGTTGAAATACACGTTGCAGATCTAAACGCCATGTTATTGAATTATCAAAATTTGTGCTCAAATACAATAAGTTATATAAATATTATTAACCAAGAATAAAATAACCAACAATATTAATAAATTAAATTTTAAAGACAAATGAAGTACATCATTACCTAGAAAATACAGTTGGTTTATTATTAAGGAAGGAGCTGCACAATACGCTACTATTGTTGACTAGTTGCCTTCCTTTCCTTCTGGGGCCCGGCATGGCCAGGTGGTTAGGGTACTCGACTCGCAATCTGCGGGTCGCGGGTTCGAATCCCCGTCACACCAAACATGTTGCCCCCACGGCTGAAAGGGCGGTTATAATGTGACGCTCAATCCCACTATTCGTTGGTAAAAGAGTAGCCCAAGAGTTGGCGGTGGGTGGTGATGACTAGCTGCCTTCCCTCTAGTCTTACACTGCTAAATTAGGGACGGCTAGCGCAGATAGCCCTCGTGTAGCTTTGTTCGAAATTCAAAACAAACAAACAAACTTTCCTTCTGTGAGCCCAACATTCAAGACGCTAACGTAAGTATTATTAGGAACGAACAAAGAAGCCACCTTATCAAACATTTCTGCTTTTGTTTTATTTATTTTTCTAGCTTTGTGGTAATTGAAATTGATGATTGAAGCTCTTAATATATATATATATATATATATATATATATATATATATATATA